TTTTCATTGCCACAAGGTTGAACATCAAAACAAGGATTATCCTTTTCTGAAGGGTTTAAAGAATGTTAAGATGAATATCATGGAATCCATCATGGATACAACTCAAGTGTCTGATTGTGAGACACAAATCCCTAAGCCCTAAACTAGAGCCGAAAGGGTGCCACATGGTAATGGTCAAAGTGGAAGTTCAACAAGTGTAATATGTTTAGACCAAAAGCTCTAACTTGGAAAGTCAAGAGCAGAAGTGGAACTCCAAATAAAATGCTCAAGGAATGAGTATAAAGCAATTGGTGAATAAATCTCTAAAAAAGGACACAAAAAAGAGTCTAAGAAGGAGTTCAAGATGGAGTCCGAGAAGAAGTTTGAAATGGAGTTTAAGATGAAGTTTGAGAAGGAATCTGAGATAGGGACCAAGACTAGAATTGAGATTGAGACCAAGACTGAGATTGAGACTAAGACCAAGTATGAGTCCAAGTCCGAGTTTAAGTTTGAGTCCAAATCCAAGTTTAAGGGTGAAAGCCCAAAGCAATAATTTCTCAAACCCTAAGGGGTTTGGTGAGCTTCAAAAGGATAGTAGGGGGGAGGACTCTAGTGGAACCAATTTGGCCAGAAAAGGGCAGTGTGATAAAAAACAACTATACCCACGTGGTGGGTGATGATATAACCATTGAAGAGTCTAAGGCTAGATAACTTGGTGAAGTGTTCAAGAGTTGACTCTAGCCCTTCTAGGAGATTGAATAATCAATGCTTCTAATCCAAGTGTAGGTGGCATTATCTATTTAGATACCTAATATGGCTTATCAGAACCTCACTTTAGCCACATGGTTTGGGCACATAAGGGTAGAAGCTGCAGAGAGTACCTATAAGATTTGCATATGGCCATAATGTTTCAAAATGTCCTAGACTATGGAAAGGAAGAGGAGCAATCCTCTTGTATAGTGACTAAAGATATGGTCACATGGTGAAAAAGTCCCAAAAATCAATGGGATTTAGCGGTTGGGCATTTAGGCTTTGATATAGTGGTAGTGTTAGTAAGCACACCCATGGATGGAAAAGGACTTGGTGAATACTGAAGAAGGGATGGGGAAGGGTGTTCTCTATGTCTTCGGGCATCCTAAGGATGCTAAAGTGTGGTCTAGGGATGACCACTTATGATGCATTCTTTAAAAGGGAAGGGGGGGGGTGGGGCACATTGTCAGTAGTTAGGTCAGGCAAGACCAACCTGAAACATAATCTAACTCCCACTTACGTGCCTATCTTTGTTTTGCATCTGGTAGTGGTTCAAGGCCCTAAAACTTGAATTCTGCTCTGCTACCTTTGGATATGTGAAAGAAATAGAGTATCACTATTATCTGTCTCAACAATTAATTATTGCTTTGGAGTTGGTGAAATGCACGCATAAGATTTTTGTGGTGTACCCATTTCTTTCTAATATGATCATATCTAATTTGGAATACATTTGTAGGCATAGGGCTCGTATTAATTGCATTCAAAAGGAGTTTCGTGATGTATTTCCAGATGAATTGCCTGATGGTTTGCCCCATCTAACGTAGCATAAGATTGACTTGGCTCCTAGAGCTACTCCTTATCACCAAAAATTGACTCTTCCTAGTCCTCTTGAAGATGAAATCAATAGGCAACTTTCTGAGTACCTTCAAAAGAGGTGGTTATGGATAAGCAAGTCTTCTTACACTGCTTTAGTGGTGATGGTCAAAAAGAAAGAGTACATTGCTTTTCTATATGAACTAAAACGGTTAAGGGCTTGAATGGTGAAGAATATGTTGCATATTGATGATTTGCTCAATTGTCTTTATGGTGCTCAATATTTTATAAAGATTGATTTGAAGCAAAAGTATTATCAAATCCATTTGGTTTGACAAATGTTCCTACAACTTTTCAAAGGTTGATAAATTAAGTTTTACAACTTTATTTAGGGAAGTTTGTGATTGACTACTTTAATATCCTAGTTTTCAGCTTTACAGCAGAAGAACATAAGATGTATGTGTGAAGTGTTTTACATTTTTTGAGCGACAACAAGTTATACTCAAAGTTATCCAAGTGTGAGTTTTTCTTGGAGGAAATTGGATATCTCGGGCATTTGATTTTAGTGCATGGTATAAGAGATGATCCCACAAAGATCCAAGTCATGGTTGATTGGTCTATACCTTTGATAATGCATGATTTAAGTTTGATACCACACAATAAAATTGGCTTACTTGAGATAAGGCGTTGTATCCTATGATTTCTGTTGTGAATAAATGGCAATATTATTTATATAGATCATACTTCCATATAGATCCAAACTATCAATCTCTCCAATATTTTAGTCATCAAAAAGATCTTTAAGACCATTTTTACTGGTTGGCAAGAGTTCCTATAAGACATGTTTGTGGAGATTTGGTACAAGTATGGTGGTGACAATAAGATGGCTAATGCATTATTCAAGATAATGAATTCTATTTCATTCATGAAGCTATCTAGCAATCTTTTGAATGAGTTTAAGGAGTTTACTGATTTCAACTTCTTCATCACTGATATTAACATGAAGGTTTTATTGAGGGATGCCTCTATACATTTAAAGGGTGACAAGGTTATATCATTCAAGATATGAAATGAAATCTTGGTAAAGAAGGGACATACTCATTAAATAGATTTTGGTTGATAAGTGTTAGGCATTTAGGGGAAGTTTGTTGGCCTCTATCATCCTCTATATATACTCGAAAATGATTGGGATAACATCTCAATATAATTTACCACTCATTTGCCCAAGATTTTTCAAGGAAATAATATTATTTGGTAGTTATAGATTGTTTGACAAAGATAGCTCACTTCTTCCTAGTAAAGTTAACAATTAAAACTACTAAACTTGTTTAGTTGTTTGTAGACTAGTTATTTAGTCTATATGGTTTGTTATGTGATATTGTGATTAATCAGAATCCTAAGTTCACATTTAAATTTTAGAAATGGTCTTCGAGAAGTTAGAGATTAAGTTGAGCATGAGTAGTGGTGAGCATCCACATTTAGATGGGCAGATAAAGTGCATGAATCAGCTGTTGAAAGATGTATTGAGGTTTTTTATAAGAAACTTAACTCAACAAAGAGTATAGGAGAAGTATTTGCTTTTGCTCCAATTTGCTCACAATAGTGTTTATAATTGATATTATAGTTACAAACATGAATATAGAACACGAACATAAGTTTTAGATTTCATGAACCTGACTATAGAACACGATCAATAGCTCATGAATATTCTAGTGGATATTCTAAGAATATTCTATTTTTAATTCTAAGAATATGCTACTTTTTATTATATATAAACTACTCAAAAATCCTACAAATCATCATTATCTTCAACCTTATAATCTTTAATATCATCTCCATCTTCTTCTTCCTCTTCCTCTTCCTCTTCCTCTCCTTACTTAAATTTGTCTTCTAGATAAGGAACTATCTCTAGTACATTGTAGCTCACAAATTTGTTATAGTCACAATCATTTTTGCAGATTAACAACCTCTATCTTGTCCATAATAAGTTTATTTTTCTTCTTTGAAGACACGTGCTCAAACAATCTCTCCACTAAGGATGACAAACATTAGAATTCGAATGGCCAACTTTTGAAGTGCTGGAATTTCATAACTATAATACTCTCACCAACATACAAGTCTTTTTTTAATGCGATCAGATTTAGTATCAATCGAGTTCCTGTCCTCCTATAAGTTAAAAGCTCATCCCATATCACATCCCTCTCACTGGATGTAAACATGGCAATAGATAAGCATTTCAATCTCAAGTCTTCGATTGAATGCCCTTGCACAACATAGTGTCCTGGAACGCTATAATCTCAGTCTATGCCTTTAATGGGTGTCTTATGCAAGAGAAGAGTATATTTAACAGAATTCTGGAGCACAATCTTTCATCATGCACTACAATGATGGTTGCATTTTCCGTAAATGGTCATGTAAGCTGCCGCTGTGAAGTGTTTGAAAATATGCCATGGAAAGACTAGCGGTCGTGGACGGCCTTAATCGCAGTACTTGCCAGAAACAGCCATATGCAAGATGCGATTAATGTGTTTCAGGCCATGAATCTCGAAGGGATTTCACCAGACGAGATCACTTTTATCGCAATCCTGAGCGGTTGCAGCCACGCGGGGAAGATCATTGATGCTCGAGAACACTTGCTGTTGATCCAATCAGACTTTGGGATCGACCCATCACTACAGGTGCATGGTTGATCTGCTTGGGCGGGCTAAGCGGCTGGAGGAGGCCGAGAATCTCATCCAGTCCATGCCATTTCTTCCAGATGCGGTGGCATGGACAACTCTGTTGGATGTGACTCGTGGCAAACGACTGCAGAGCACATACTTCGCTTTAACAAATTTCTTGCAATTTAGTCTCTGGATCGGTTTCTTTGCCATCCTATAAAATAGGCTAGACAACTATCCGCCAGCTTCTTTATGCGCTTTGGGTCATATCACCTTGTTCGTACACCTGGCAGAACTTGTGTCTATTGTTGCCACCCAGCTAAGATTTGGAAGGGACACTTCACGTCAGACAATTCTCTTTCACGTTCTCCCTTGTCAATTCTTTGGGAAAATAACAAAAACTGAGATTCTGCCCGGTACATTGTGATTCCAGTGGCTTTGTTTGCTAGCCTTGGTTCGAAATAAATTCCGGCTTCGGGGCACTGCATATGCATTCGCATTTACCTCCTACATTGCCTCTCAACCAGCCATCCAGTGTCTCTACAAGATGAAGGCCGTTTTTGTGGCGTTGGTGATTTCATGTCTTGTGGTTTGCAGTCTCGGGGATGATGGAGCTGCTGAGTTTGTTGTTCGTCAAGCAAACCAAGGTTCTTTTGATGCATTTCACATGGTCTTCTATGGGACTCTTGCCAACATCTTTTCTTTGCTCCTTGTTGCTGCAGTACAAGATCGATGCAGGTGAAAGTTCGAATTCAAGTTTGTGCTACTATAGCCTTTGATTTGGTTTTGTTGCTCCAGGTGCTGGCTCCGTGGTACGACGCCATGCCCAGGTGAAACTCTTGAATTTAACAGCAAGATTAATATCACGTACTGAAACTTTTTACGTAAATTTCAAGCAGGTGCCATATACATACCAACTTCTGCTTTCTTTTCTATGGTTTTTCAGGCTTAACTGTTTTATTTTTCTTTCATGTTTCTGTCAGGACCGCCCCCACCAGGTTTGTCTGGCCAACTTTTCATGCTTCCACGATTTGTACCATGAACTTGATAGAGTTTTGCTGTTAACAGGATGCACGGAAAGTCCCAGTTCAAGCCCAAAGGCGAGTCCAACTCCAAAGACCAGCCCAACACCAAGCCCATCTCCAAAGACGAGCCCAACACCAAGCCCATCTCCAAAGACCAGCCCCGCTCCAAGTCCAACTCCTCCAAAGACCAGCCCCGCTCCAAGCCCATCTCCTCCAAAGACCAGCCCCGCTCCAAGCCCAACTCCGAAGGCCACTCCCAAGGCATCAGGTGCTACAGTATAGACTTTCCACTCTTTTCTGTGCAAACGCTCTTCTTTTCATTCTTTCAGGAGGGAAAGATCATCACGCTGCGACTCCATAAGCACACGGCATGACTCCACGGAATAAGCCAGTGCGTCTCAGGGGACCTTAATCTACGGCTCTCATGACTTTAAAGAGCTTTGTATTGTATTGTGTTGTTCTTGTCCTGAGAATAAAAGAATGCCTAGAACTTGTACACTTGGTCTTCGGTGTAACCCATGCTCTTCAAGAGACCTGTCAACTGTTGAGAAGGAAGAGTGGAATCAGGGAAGCTCGCGTGTTGGAATAGATATCTCTGTAAAATGGTTACTTGTCCTTGTGATTTGTCTGGTGCTTTATCGCTGGAGATGTGGCTCATGAGGCCTGGAGGCCTGCACACCTGTTGGAAATGGTGTCAATGGGGAACTAAGTAACGAGCAGCAAATGAGCTTCAAACCATGATGAGATTGCCGTCTGAAGGAGGTGGTAGTCCCTTCACCAGGTCTTTTGTGATGAAGCCGGATCCTTATCGCATTGGCTTATTGGCAACATAGAAAACCTGTAAACATGCATCAGTTTTCTTTGGAAACACAAGAAGTCTGATAGTCTCAAACAGGACCTTGAAGTTTGGATGTTTTCAGCAAGTTTGTCGAGCTCGTTCTTGAGTAGAATGTTGTCCAGTGTCAAGTTGGCATAAATCAACGAGACCTGATCAGAGGAAATGCTGCAGAAACATTATGAGGACACATTTTTCCTGGAGACAATCCTGTGTTTTATCTTCTGGATTTTATAAGATCTCATTAAGCACTTGGAACATCAGTGTGATCCTGGTACTTCCTGCAATCTGAACAATATCTATACCTTCTTCAATGTCTGATCAATCACTACCACCTCCTTTTAAAGAACATTGTGCATCCGACAACTTAAGGAAAGTTTTGTCACCCTTGATGATGATAATGTTCATTAGCTAATTTTTTGTCTTTATTTTGAACTTGCCTCACTTGACCTTTATAAATCTCTGAGGTTATATATAGTGATTTGAGTTGTACTTGTTCCAATGTTGCTATTGATTTAGAAGAGATATATGTTCCATTACCTCTTCAACCTACAGCTACTGCTAATAATATTAGATTATTTGATGATGAGCGACCAATTTCATTACCTTCTTCCCGGCTTAGATTTCATGTGGTTCTCATTGTTTTGTAGGTTTTGCAAGCTACAAAGTCTTGCTTTGGCAAGGGTAGTTCTATGATTTATGTATAAAAATTGCCTTGGCTTCCTGGTTTTGAGATTTCTCTCTTCCTTTGTGGAAAAGTTTGTGACATTCTTTCTGCATTGCTAAGTTCATATTACTCAAAGTTCGTGACATTCTTTGTGCATTGCTAAGTTCATATTACTTGCTAGTGGATTTCTTTTGTTTTCTTATACAACACCAATATTTACCTCAACCATGTGGAATGGGATTTCAGCCTTCACTTTCATTCTTGCTTTCATCTTCAGGTATTGAATTGCAAAGGTCAAAGGCCCTAGTCATCTTGAGCATCTAATTGTTGCTTAAATGAATCTACTTCTGTGTTTCTTAACATGCCTCAAAAACATGTCATTACTTGGAATACTATGATTACAGTATATGCCCAAATAGGGGATACTCAGGAAGAAATGATACTCTTTGATCGGATGCCACAGTGGGATATTCTGTCTAGTAACGCAACGATACAGGTCTTGGCGCATGTGGGTCAGGTAACTGAGTCAAAAATAATCTTTGAGTCGACGCCCGAGATCAATGTTGCAACTTGGACTTGCATGATTTCTGCAAATGCCGGAGTTGGGAATCTCGAGGAGATGTGGAGATTGTTTTCTCTTGTGGAGGAGAAAGATCCTGAAATGCTCTAGCTGGTGGACTTGTTACTGCAATGCAAACCTTCAAAGCAAAAGAGGCCTGGATAGAATGCCGAGTTGGAATGTCGTGGCATGGAACACCATAATGTCAGCCTGTGCATAGGATGGGTATCAAACAGACGCGAAGAGAATGTTCCTCTCGATGCCTTTCCGCGATCACCCTGCATGGTGTGTTCTTCTGACTGGCTATGGCGATTGTGGTGAATTTGACGAATCAATTTAAGCCTTCGATCGAATGCCCTTGCACGACGTAGTGTCCTGGAAAGCTATGATTTCAGTCTATTCCCTTAATGGGTGTCTTGTGCAAGAGAAGAGTATATTTGACAGAATTCTGGTGCACAATACTACAATGATGGTTGCATTTTCCGTAAGTGGTAATGTAAGCTGCGCCCGTTGAAGTGTTCGAAAACATGCCATGGAAAGACCAGCGGTCGTGGACGGCCTTGATCGCAGTACTTGCCAGAAACGGCCATATGCAAGATGCGATTAATGCGTTTCAGGCCATGAATCTCGAAGGGATTCCACCGGACGAGATCATTTTTATCGCAATCCTGAGCGGTTGCAGCCACGCGGGGAAGATCACTGATGCTCGAGAACACTTCCTGTCGATCCAATCAAACTTTGGGATCGACCCATCACTACAGGTGCATGGTTGATCTGCTTGGGCGGGCTAAGCGGCTGGAGGAGGCCGAGAATCTCATCCAGTCCATTCCATTTCTTCCAGATGCGGTGGCATGGACAACTCTGTTGAGCGCTTGCAGGCTCCATGGAGATGTGACTCGTGGCAAACGAGCTGCAGAGCACATACTTCGCTTAAAATTTCTTGCAATTTAGTCTCTGGATCGGTTTCTTTGCACATCCAAATCATTGTCTATAAACTAGGCAAGACAACTATCACGTCCCTTTGCTGTTCACCTTGTTCGTAAACCTGGCAGAACTTGTGTCTATTGTTCAGACAATTCTCTTTCACGTTCTCCCTCGTCAATTCTTTGGGAAAAAAGACAACTATCATATGCGCTTTGGGTCATATCACCTTGTTCGTAAACCTGGCAGAACTTGTGTCTATTGTTACCACCCAGCTAAGATTTGGAAGAGCTCCCTTGGCAATTCTTTGGGAAAATAAAAAAGTGAGATTCTGCCCGGTACATTGTGATTCCAGTGGCTTTGTTTGCTAGCCTTGGTTCGAAATAAATTCCGGCTTCGGGGCCCTGCATATGCATTCGCATTTTACCTCCTGCATTGGCTCTCAGCCAGCCATCCAGTGTCTCTACAAGATGAAGGCCGTCTTTGTGGCGTTGGTGATTTCATGTCTTGTGGTTTGCAGTCTTGGGGATGATGGAGCTGCTGAGTTTGTTGTTCGTCAAGCAAACCAAGGTTCTTTTGATGCATTTCACATGGTCTTCTATGGGACTCTTGCCAACATCTTTTCTTTGCTTGTTGTTGCTGCAGCACAAGATCGATGCAGGTGAAAGTTCGAATTCAAGTTTGTGCTACTATAGCCTTTGATTTGGTTTTGTTGCTCCAGGTGCTGGCTCCGTGGTACGACGCCATGCCCAGGTGAAACTCTTGAATTTAACAGCAAGATTAATATCACGTACTGAAACTTTTTACGTAAATTTCAAGCAGGTGCCATATACATACCAACTTCTGCTTTCTTTTCTATGGTTTTTCAGGCTTAACTGTTTTATTTTTCTTTCATGTTTCTGTCAGGACCGCCCCCACCAGGTTTGTCTGGCCAACTTTTCATGCTTCCACGATTTGTACCATGAACTTGATAGAGTTTTGCTGTTAACAGGATGCACGGAAAGTCCCAGTTCAAGCCCAAAGGCGAGTCCAACTCCAAAGACCAGCCCAACACCAAGCCCATCTCCAAAGACGAGCCCAACACCAAGCCCATCTCCAAAGACCAGCCCCGCTCCAAGCCCATCACCTCCAAAGACCAGCCCCGCTCCAAATCCAACTCCAAAGGCCAGTCCCAAGGCATCAGGTGCTACAGTATAGACTTTCCACTCTTTTCTGTGCAAACGCTCTTCTTTTCATTCGTTCAGGAGGGAAAGATCATCACTCTGCGACTCCATAAGCACACGGCATGACTCCACGGAATAAGCCAGTGCGTCTCAGGGGACCTTAATCTACGGCTCTCATGACTTTAAAGAGCTTTGTATTGTATTGTGTTGTTCTTGTCCTGAGAATAAAAGAATGCCTAGAACTTGTACACTTGGTCTTCGGTGTAACCCATGCTCTTCAAGAGACCTGTCAACTGTTGAGAAGGAAGAGTGGAATCAGGGAAGCTCGCGTGTTGGAATAGATATCTCTGTAAAATGCTTACTTCTCCTTGTAATTTGTCTGGTGCTTTATCGCCGGAGATGTGGTTCATGAGGCCCGGAGGCCCGCACACCTGTTGGAAATTGTGTCAATGGGGAACTAAGTAACAACGAGTAGCGAATAAGCTTCAAACCATGATGAGATTGCCGTCCGAAGGAGGTGGTAGTCCCTTCACCAGGATGTCTTTCGTGATGAAGCCGGATCCTCCTCCCCAGTAACGCGTTGGCTTATCGACAACATAGAAAACCTGTAAACATGCGTCAGTTTTCCTTGGAAGCACCAGAGTGGAAGTCTGATAGTCTTCAAACAGGACCTTGAAGTTTGGATGCTTTTCAGATAGTTTGTCGAGCTCGTTCTTGAGTAGAATGTCGTCCGGTGTCAAGTTGGCATAGATCAACGAGACCTGATCGGAGGAAACGCCGCAGAAACATTACGAGGACACGTTTTTCCTGGAGACAAACCTGTGTTTTATCTTCTGGATTTTTTAAGATCTCGTTAAGCACTTGAAACATCGGCGTGATCCCGGTACCTCCTGCAATCTAAACGACAGTAAAGTGACGCAGAGAACTCAAAGATATACCATGCCGATACGTTCTTTCATGTTGGCGCTGTATGGGAGCTTGGGAATAGGACTGTGGATCTTCCTTGTAAAACTACAGACGGAAAAAAATATGTAGTAAAATACACGTACCCTTTCATTTCCAAAGTGTCGCCGGGCCGAAGAGCAGCAAAATATTTGCTCATTTTTCCTTCGGGGTATGTCTACAAAGAAAATGTTTTCTTCATCGTTAGCTGAGAAAGCACGCAAATGCTGAAAACAAAGAACACAATACCTTCACAAGTAAATCAAAGTGACCGCGAACGTCTGGATCACTTATGGGCGTATATCTGTCAGCACGAAGCACGAGTTACAGTGATTCCAAGCGTAAGACAATTTTACATACGGTCTGATGATCACATTTGGCTTCCCATCCTTTTTCGTACCCATAGCAGCCCTGCAAAGCAAAGAAAAATTCACGTATCTTCGTCATGAAGTTTGGCAGCTCCGTTACTTTGTCAAGAGGCACGAAGCAACGTTAAGACCCAGTTGCGCATCGTCATCCAAGGCAAACCTGTACAAAGAACGTTAGCGCATCGTCTTGTTTTCCATTCTTTCTTTCCTCTTGCCTGTAACGTCTCGTGTTGTGAGTCACAGGCTTCGCTTCTAAGAGTCGAAACTTCCGCCATTCGTTCGGATCCAATGCTGGACGGACAATGTGAGCAAACCACGACCAAAACTTAGAACTTTCGAGCAAAAAGCAAAGCACGAACCGAAATCCCCAGCGTCGCTACGAGCGGTCTTTGCAGAATCCACAAGAAAAAGATGAGCAGCAGAATGATACAAGAAAATATCTCACCTCGCTCTTCCAGGTCGAGTAGATCGTCGCCACTGCTGCCAAAATCGCCGCTCCAGTCGCCGCGGCGGCGGCTCCAGTCCGCCGATCGGCGCCAGATCCGGCGGTCTCAGCTCCGCTGTGGAATGAAAATGCCGGGGCAGCCTTTCGAAGAGCCGATCGAGAGCGCAGCGCCAGCGCCATGAACCCTGAAAATTTGGACTCAAAGCATATTCTCGACATGAGCGTGGGCATCTAGGGTTTTTCGTCATGGAGGGCTGGGACGCTGGGACGAAGAACACCGTCGCGAAGATCCCACTGCTCAAGACCCGAGCTGGGCCTAGGGATGGCGATGCGTGGAAGCAGCGCCTCAAGGAGGAGTACCAGGTATGAATTTCCAAACGTTTCTCTCAGATTTAAAACGCATTTTTCCACCTGCGATCTCTCTCGTTTGCTCTACATTTGCGTCCTTGGTGTGTGGACCGTGTAGCGGCAGCTTGAATCGATCGAGGGAAGGAGAGAAGAATTCGTTCTAATTTCCTGGTTTGCTACTCCAGGCTTTGATCAAGTACATGGAGATGAACAAAGCGAATGATAACGATTGGTTTCGCATCTCGGCCAGTCCAGATGGGACCAAATGGAAGGGGCGATGCTGGTACATCCACAACCTTCTCAAATACGAGTTTGATTTGCAGTTCGAGATCCCCGTGACTTACCCCGCCACCGCTCCAGAGCTTGAGCTCCCGGAACTGGACGGGAAAACAGCCAAGGTAGAGACGCTCAATCTCTAGCTCATTATCAAGGAAAAATTCTTACCTTCTTCTCTCTTTTCCAGATGTATAGGGGTGGAAAGATTTGTTTGACAATCCATTTCAAACCTTTATGGGCAAAGAACTGGTAAGCTGATTTTTCCTTGTTTGATTTGTTTTAATTCGTATCTCTTTGCCAGTCCTAGATTTGGTGTTGCACATGCGCTTTGCTTGGGTCTTGGGCCTTGGCTAGCAGCAGAAGTTCCTCACCTTGTTGAAACTGGGATGATTTCTCATAAGGATAATGTATCTAATTAACATTTTCGAAATCATGCTAATCTAATGGTGTTGATGTAGTTTAATCTTGAAAGAGTTTTTCTGGTGTGAAGTTGTTTTTCTTCTCTTATATTGACTGGCTATGGCGATTGTGATGAATTTGTCGAATCAATTCAAGCCTTTGATCTAATGCGCTTGCACGACATAGTGTCATGGAACTTTTTGATCTCAGTCTATGCCCTTAATAGGTGCCTTGTGCAAGAGAAGAGAATATTTGACAGAATTCTGGAACACACTCTTTCATCGTTCACTACAATTATGGTTGCATTTTCCGTAAATGATCATGTAAGCTGCGCCTGTGAAGTATTCGAAAATGGCCATGGAAAGACCAGCGGTCGTGGACGGCCTTGATCGCAGTACTTGCCAGAAACGGCCATATGCAAGATGCGATTAATGCGTTTCAGGCCGTGAATCTCGAAGGGATTTCACCGGACGAGATCTCTTTTGTTGCAATCCTGAGCGGATGCAGCCACGCGGGGAAGATCATTGATGCTCGAGAACACTTCCTGTTGATCCAATCAGACTTTGGGATCGACCCAATTGTGGATCACTACAGGTGCATGGTTGATCTGCTTGGGCGGGCTAAGCGGCTGGAGGAGGCCGAGAATCTCATACAATCCATGCCATTTCTTCCATATGTGGTGGCATGGACAACTCTGTTGAGCGCTTGCAGGCTCCATGGAGATGTGGCTCGTGGCAAGCGAGCTGCAGAGCACATACTTCGCTTAAACATATCTCTTGCAATTTAGTCTCTGGATCAAAGAAACTGGTTTGCAGAAGGCAAGACAACTATCACGTCCCTTTGCCGCCAGCTTCTTTGTGGGCTTTAGGTCATATCATCCTGTTGGCAATGAACGTGGTATCTGACATTTATGACATTCTGTCAATTTTGCTGGAACTTGTGTCTATATTGTATGGAGTTGCCACCCAGCTAACATTTGAAAGGGACACTTCACCTCAACTTCACCTCAGACAATTCTCATTCACGTTCTCCGAAATATTCTCGTTCTAGTGACTTTGTTTGCTAGCCTTGGTTCGAAATAAATTCCAGCTTCGAGGCACTGCATATGCATTCGCATTTCACCTCCTGCGTTGCCTCTCAGGCAGCCTTCCAGTGTCTCTACAAGATGAAGGCCATCTTTGTGGCATTGGTGATTTCATTTCTTGTGGTTTGCAGTCTCGGGGATGATGGAGCTGCTGAGTTTGTTGTTCGTCAAGCAAACCAAGGTTCTTTTGATGCATTTCACATGGTCTTCTATGGGACTCTTGCCAACATCTTTTCTTTGCTTGTTGTTGCTGCAGCACAAGATCGATGCAGGTGAAAGTTCGAATTCAAGTTTGTGCTACTATAGCCTTTGATTTGGTTTTGTTGCTCCAGGTGCTGGCTCCGTGGTACGACGCCATGCCCAGGTGAAACTCTTGAATTTAACTTCTTTTCTATGGTTTTTCAGGCTTAACTGTTTTATTTTTCTTTCATGTTTCTGTCAGGACCGCCCCCACCAGGTTTGTCTATGGTTTTTCATGGCTAACTGTTTTATTTTTCTTTCATGTTTCTGTCAGGACCGCCCCCACCAGGTTTGTCTAGGCAACTTTTCATGCTTCCACGATTTGTACCATGAACTTGATAGAGTTTTGCTGTTAACAGGATGCACGGAAAGTCCCAGTTCAAGCCCAACACCAAGCCCATCTCCAAAGACCAGCCCCGCTCCAAGTCCAACTCCTCCAAAGACCAGCCCCGCTCCAAGCCCATTTCCTCCAAAGACCAGCCCCGCTCCAAGTCCATCTCCTCCAAAGACCAGCCCCGCTCCAAGCCCAACTCCGAAGGCCACTCCCAAGGCATCAGGTGCTACAGTATAGACTTTCCACTCTTTTCTGTGCAAACGCTCTTCTTTTCATTCGTTCAGGAGGGAAAGATCATTACGCTGCGACTCCATAAGCACACGGCATAACTCCACGGAATAAGCCAGTGCGTCTCAGGGGACCTTAATCTACGGCTCTCATGACTTTAAAGAGCTTTGTATTGTATTGTGTTGTTCTTGTCCTGAGAATAAAAGAATGCCTAGAACTTGTACACTTGGTCTTCGGTGTAACCCATGCTCTTCAAGAGACCTGTCAACTGTTGAGAAGGAAGAGTGGAATCAGGGAAGCTCGCATGTTGGAATAGATATCTCTGTAAAATGCTTACTTGTCCTTGTGATTTGTCTGGTGCTTTATCGCCGGAGATGTGGTTCATGAGGGCTGGAGGCCTGCACAAAATGGTGTCAATGGGGAACTAAGTAACGAGCAGCGAATGAGCTTCAAACCACGATGAGATTGCCGTCTGAAGGAGGTGGTAGTCCCTTCACCAGGTCTTTCGTGATGAAGCCGGATCCTTATCGCATTGGCTTATTGGCAACATAGAAAACCTGTAGACATGCATCAGTTTTCTTTGGAAACACGAGAAGTCTGATAGTCTCAAACAGGACCTTGAAGTTTGGATGTTTTCAGCAAGTTTGTCGAGCTCGTTCTTGAGTAGAATGTCGTCCAGTGTCAAGTTGGCATAGATCAACGAGACCTAATCAGAGGAAATGCTGCAGAAACATTATGAGGACACATTTTTCATGGAGACAATCCTGTGTTTTATCTTCTGGATTTTATAAGATCTCATTAAGCACTTGGAACATTAGTGTGATCCTGGTACTTCCTGCAATCTGAACAATATCTATACCTTCTTCAATGTCTGATCGATCACTACCACCTCCTTTTAAAGAACATTGTGCATCCAATAGCTTAAGGAAAACTTTGTCACCCTTGATGATGATAATGTTCATTAGCTAATTTTTTGTCTTTATTTTGAACTTGCCTCACTTGACCTTTATAAATCTCTGAGGTTATATATAGTGATTTGAGTTGTACTTGTTCCAATGTTGCTATTGATTTAGAAGAGATATATGTTCCATTACCTCTTCCACCTACAGCTACTGCTAATAATATTAGATTATTTGATGATGAGCAACCAATCTCATTATCTTCTTCCCAGCTTAGATTTCATGTGGTTCTCATTGTTTTGTAGGTTTTGCAAGCTACAAAGTCTTGCTTTGGCAAGGGTAGTTCTATGATTTATGTATAAAAATTGCCTTGGCTTCCTGGTTTTGAGATTTCTCTCTTCCTTTGTGGAAAAGTTTGTGACATTCTTTCTGCATTGCTAAGTTCATATTACTCAAAGTTCGTGACATTCTTTGTGCATTGCTAAGTTCATATTACTCACTAGTGGATTTCTTTTGTTTTCTTCCAAGAAGAGAAAACAAAATCTTATTTTTCCTATGTTATTTGCAACATTCTTCCTCGCTGTCTTCAGGTAAGTTTTGTCAATGTTTTAACATTTGAAACAATTTAGAGAGGAAGATCTATATTCAATCTTACAGAGTTTATGTAAGTAAGCTATGCTACTTACAAGAGCTTAAGTATACAACACCAATATTTACCTCAACCATGTGGAATGGGATTTCAGCCTTCACTTTCATTCTTGCTTTCATCTTCAGGTATTGAATTGCAAAGGTCAAAGGCCCTAGTCATCTTGAGCATCTAATTGTTGCTTAAATGAATCTACTTCTGTGTTTCTTAACATGCCTCAAAAGCATGTCATTACTTGGAATACTATGATTACAGTATATGCCCAAACAGGGGATACTCAGGAAGAAATGATACTCTTTGATCGGATGCCACAGTGGGATATTCTGTCTAGTAACGCAATGATACAGGTCTTGGCGCATGTGGATCAGGTAACTGAGTCAAAGATAATCTTTGAGTCGACGCCCGAGACCAATGTTGCAACTTGGACTTGCATGATTTCTGCAAATGCCGGAGTTGGGAATCTCGAGGAGATGTGGAGATTGTTTTCTCTTGTGGAACAGAAATCCTAGAATGCTCTAGCTGTGGACTTCTTACTGCAATGCAAACCTTCAAAGAAAAAGAGGCCTGGATAGAATGCCGAGTTGGAATGTCGTGGCATGGAACACCATAATGTCAGCCTGTGCATAGGATGGGTATCAAACAGACGCGAAGAGAATGTTCCTCTCGATGCCTTTCCGCGATCACCTTGCATGGTGTGTTCTTCTGACTGGCTATGGCGATTGTGGTGAATTTGACGAATCAATTCAAGCCTTCGATCGAATGCCCTTGCACGACGTAGTGTCCTGGAAAGCTATGATCTCAGTCTATGCCCTTAACGGGTGTCTTGCGCAAGAGAAGAGTATATTTGACAGAATTCTGGTGCACAATACTACAATGATGGTTGCATTTTCCGTAAATGGTAATGTAAACTGCGCCCGTTGAAGTGTTCGAAAATATGCCATGGAAAGACCTGCGGTCGTGGACGGCCTTGATCGCAGTACTTGCCAGAAACGGCCATATGCAAGATGCGATTAATGCGTTTCAGGCCATGAATCTCGAAGGGATTTCACCGGACGAGATCACTTTTATCGCAATCCTGAGCGGTTGCAGCCACGCGGGGAAGATCACTGATGCTCGAGAACACTTCCTGTCGATCCAATCAAACTTTGGGATCGACCCATCACTACAGGTGCATGGTTGATCTGCTTGGGCGGGCTAAGCGGCTGGAGGAGGCCGAGAATCTCATCCAGTCCATTCCATTTCTTCCAGATGCGGTGGCATGGACAAATCTGTTGAGCGCTTGCAGGCTCCATGGAGATGTGACTCGTGGCAAACGAGCTGCACTTCGCTTAAAATTTCTTGCAATTTAGTCTCTGGATCGGTTTCTTTGCACATCAAAATCATTGTCTATAAAATAGGCAAGACAACTATCACGTCCCTTTGCTGTTCACCTTGTTCGTAAACCTGGCAGAACTTGTGTCTATTGTTGCCACCCAGCTAAGATTTGGAATCATCTCAGACAATTCTCTTTCACGTTCTCCCTCGTCAATTCTTTGGGAAAAAAGACAACTATCATATGCGCTTTGGGTCATATCACCTTGTTCGTAAACCTGGCAGAACTTGTGTCTATTGTTACCACCCAGCTAAGATTTGGAAGGGCTCCCTTGTCAATTCTTTCGGAAAATAACAAAAACTGAGATTCTGCCCGGTACATTGTGATTCCAGTGGCTTTGTTTGCTAGCCTTGGTTCGAAATAAATTCCCCCTTCGGGGCCCTGCATATGCATTCGCATTTTACCTCCTGCATTGCCTCTCAGCCAGCCAGCCAGTGTCTCTACAAGATGAAGGCCGTCTTTGTGGCATTGGTGATTTCATGTCTTGCGGTTTGCAGTCTCGGGGATGATGGAGCTGCTGAGTTTGTTGTCCGTCAAGCAAACCAAGGTTCTTTTGATGCATTTGACATGGTGTTCTATGGGACTCTTGCCAACATCTTTTCTTTGCTTGTTGTTGCTGCAGCACAAGATCGATGCAGGTGAAAGTTCGAATTCAAGTTTGTGCTACTATAGCCTTTGATTTGGTTTTGTTGCTCCAGGTGCTGGCTCCGTGGTACGACGCCATGCCCAGGTGAAACTCTTGAATTTAACAGCAAGATTAATATCACGTACTGAAACTTTTTACGTAAATTTGAAGCAGGTGCCATATACATACCAACTTCTGCTTTCTTTTCTATGGTTTTTCAGGCTTAACTGTTTTATTTTTCTTTCATGTTTCTGTCAGGACCGCCCCCACCAGGTTTGTCTGGCCAACTTTTCATGCTTCCACGTTTCGTACCATGAACCTGATAGAGTTTTGCTGTTAACAGGATGCACGGAAAGTCCCAGTTCAAGCCCAAAGGCGAGTCCAACTCCAAAGACCAGCCCAACACCAAGCCCATCTCCAAAGACGAGCCCAACACCAAGCTTATCTCCAGAGACCAGCCCCGCTCCAAGCCCATCACCTCCAAAGACCAGCCCCGCTCCAAATCCAACTCCAAAGGCCAGTCCCAAGGCATCAGGTGCTACAGTATAGACTTTCCACTCTTTTCTGTGCAAACGCTCTTCTTTTCATTCGTTCAGGAGGGAAAGATCATCACTCTGCGACTCCATAAGCACACGGCATGACTCCACGGAATAAGCCAGTGCGTCTCAGGGGACCTTAATCTACGGCTCTCATGACTTTAAAGAGCTTTGTATTGTATTGTGTTGTTCTTGTCCTGAGAATAAAAGAATGCCTAGAACTTGTACACTTGGTCTTCGGTGTAACCCATGCTCTTCAAGAGACCTGTCAACTGTTGAGAAGGAAGAGTGGAATCAGGGAAGCTCGCGTGTTGGAATAGATATCTCCGTAAAATGCTTACTTGTCCTTGTGATTTGTCTGGTGCTTTATCGCCGGAGATGTGGTTCATGAGGCCTGGAGGCCCGCACACCTGTTGGAAATTGTGTCAATGGGAATTAAGTAACAACGAGCAGCGAATAAGCTTCAAACCATGATGAGATTGCCGTCCGAAGGAGGTGGTAGTCCCTTCACCAGGATGTCCTTCGTGATGAAGCCGGATCCTCCTCCCCAGTAACGCGTTGGCTTATCGACAACATAGAAAACCTGTAAACATGCGTCAGTTTTCCTTGGAAACACGAGAGTGGAAGTCTGATAGTCTCAAACAGGACCTTGAAGTCTGGATGCTTTTCAGCTAGTTTGTCGAGCTCGTTCTTTAGTAGAATGTCGTCCGGTGTCAAGTTGGCATAGATCAACGAGACCTGATCGGAGGAAACGGCGGAGAAACATTACGAGGACACGATTTTCCTCGAGACAAACCTGTGTTTTATCTTCTGGATTTTTTGAGATCTCGTTAAGCACTTGAAACATCGGTGTGATCCCGGTACCTCCTGCAATCTAAGCGACAGTAAAGTGGCGCAGAGAACTCAAAAATATACCATCCCAATATGTTCTTTCATGTTGGTGCTATATAGGAGCTTGGGAATAGGACTGTGGATCTTCCTTGTAAAACTACAGATGGAAAGAAATGTAGTAAACTACATGTACGCTTTCATTTCCAAAGTGTCTCTGGGCCGAAGAGCAACAGAATATTTGCTCATTTTTCCTTGTGGGTAAGTCTACAAAAGAAATATTTTTTCCCTTAACAGCTGAAAAGCACACAAATGCTGAAAACAAGGAACACAATACCTTCAGAAGTAAATCAAAGTGACCATGAATGTATGGATCACTTATGGGCGTATATCTGTTAGCACAAAGCATGAGTTATAGTGATTCCAAGTGTAAGACAATTTTACATACAGTCTGATGATCACATTTGGCTTCCCATCCTTTTTCGTACCCATAGCAGCCCTACAAAGCAAAGAAAAGTTCATGTATCTTCATCATGAAGTTTAGAAGCTCTGTTACTTTTTCAAGAAGCACAAAGCAATGTTAAAACCCAGTTGCACATCTGTCATCCAAGGCAAACCTGGATGACGAATTCATATAAAGAACATTAGTGCATCAAGTTGATTTTTCATTGTTTGATTTATTTTAATTTGTATCTCTTTGCCAGTCCTAGATTTGGTGTTGCGTATGTTCTTTGCTTGGGTATTAGGCCTTGGATAGCAGCAGAAGTTCCTCACCTTTTTGAAACTAGGATGAAGGATAATGTAACATTTTTGATACTAATAATGTAGTTTAATATTGAAAGAGGTTTTCTTCTGTGGATTTTTCTTAGTATTTTATTATAAGAACAAAATTTAAGTAAGAATTTATTTTAAATGCGTTCTTCTTTAGCTAATTTAATGTTGCTGTTAAGCTTTAATATCAAGGGCTGTTAAACTTTGTATTAGAAATTTACATTTGTTTTTTACATACATAGAACACCATTCTCAACACATATAGAATAAGAGGTTACCCATTAATCTAGTGCCTCATTTGTAGAAGGGATTAATCACCTTATTGGAATCCACTTCCTTTAGAGAAACAAAAGAACAAACTCTGATATCTAACATGCAAAAGCTATTGGACCAACATATCGATTCATAGAATCTATTAGTATTTGTGATGAGGAAATCTTTTGAAAGCCCACATTAGAGGATTCCACAATGCCTAAATGGCTATACACCACGAGAGCTGTCACCTTTCCAAATGGTTATATGCTATATGAGCTGCCGAGAGAAGGTGACAGTGTTTGGCCAAGCACCATCGAGCTTGTTCCTGACCAGAGGCACTATGATATATGACAGGAGATCTCTTTTGGGTGATCGAATGTGGCTCTTCAGCGTTCCTTCTATCCTTTTCATTTGAAGGCTCAGAATATTCATATGCTTAAAACTGAGGAATGAAAACTTGGAACTCCAAATAAACTAATGGTTATAATAAGTCACTACTAAATTAATGCATTTTTTTCTCATTTTGATTCTCAAGAAAAGCTTAAGTTTTGATTATGGAGGAGAAGAAGGCTGATTTTGCTATCGATTCAGAAGAGATACATGTTCCATTACCTCTTCCACCTGCAGTTACTGCTAATAGCATTAGATTATTTGATAATGAGCAACCAATCTCATTACCTTCTTCCCGGCTTCGATTTCATGTCGTTCTCATTGTTGCCCAAGCAGGTTTTGCAGGCTACGAAGTCTTGGTCAGGCGGAGATTTGGCAAGGGCAGTTCTATGATTGTCTACTCTGTGTACAAAAATTGTCTTGGCTTCATGGTGCTGAGATTTCTCTCCTCCTTTGTGGAAAAGTTTGTGAGATTCTTTCTGCATTGCTAAGTTCATAATTACTCACTAGTGGATTTTTTAATTTTTTTTTCCAGGAAGAGGAAACCGGTTCTCAATTTTCCTGCATTATTTGCAACGTTCTTCCTTGGTGTCTTCGGGTAAGTTTTGTAAACGTTTTAGCATTTAAAACAATTTAGAGAGGAAAATCTGTATCCAATCTTACAGAGTTTGTGTAAGTGAGCTATGCTACCTACAAGGGCTTAAGTATACAACACCAATATTTGCCTCAGCCATGCGGAATGTGATTCCGGCCTTCACTTTCATTTTTGCTTTGATCTTCAGGTAATGAATTGCAATGTTTCTTGATTCGTCTTATGTTGATTCTTACTTCTGTCAGGATGGAGAAGGTTGATATTGAGAAAAGTCATGGTATTGTCAAGTTAGTAGGGACTATCTTACTTATATGCGGATGGATGACACTTTTAGTTTACAAAGGTCAAGAGCTTTTGATGAGTCACTTCTCGTATGGAGATATACCAACTCTATCTATTGCCCACCATTCAATAAGGTTGGGTGTTATACACTTGGAGCTAAATAACGAACAATATGGAATTTTATTTCTTGTCATTTCTTGTGTATCGTTTTCAATCTTCCTAACATTACAGGTAAGTTATCATAATTTTATAGCAATGAGCTCGTAAATTTATTTATTTCAGGGATTCCTTATGGAAAAATACGCAGCACCTATATCATTTGCTTCATTTGCATTCTTTTTCAGCACTATACAAGTTGCTGTAATTGCTGCGATTTATGTACATCATAAATCTCAGTGGTTAAAGTTTAGCATTGCTGATGGCATCAACATAGCCTATGGAGTAAGTAAAATTTTCTTTCATTACCTACAAAACATTAGTTTGTAACAGGGAATTATTGGATCAATGGTATTCGGAATTCAATCCTGGGGAGTAAAGCAAGGAGGACCGATGCTGGTTGCAGCTTACCAGCCTCTTGAAACGATTATAACCATAATCCTGGCGTTCTTCTTGCTTAGGGAGAGCTTAAACCTGGGAAGGTACAATCTCTTCCATTGCTACCTGAAGAAAAACAACTAGTTTTTGCGCAGCCTGGTCGGTGGTAGCATAATCTTACTGGGACTCTACCTCGTCGTCTGGGGGAAAGAACGCGAGCAGAGATTCGATGCACTGTGTGTTGTCCAAGACTTCCACGGCATGGCAAACTTTGCTCCACGGCCGAGCAACTTCTCCGTCGGCATGACAACTGAAATCACGGTTGCATCATCGGCAACCAGATCAGTCTTCGGGGGTCCGTTATCAATCGAGCAGCAAGTGGACAACGCGGACGACGACGAGGAGGAGCACGATCCTGCTGCATGGTTTGCAAACAATAATCAGCCACTCTCGATGGAAAGGAGTGCTGCATGGGTCTTCACTCAGCCACTCTTTGCAAGGGACGATCACAGCAGCCAATCCTGTCGAGCAGCGAATGGAAGGGACAAGAACCATAAGTTAGTGCCACTGTCGAGACAACGAACCTTGGATGGTAGCAACTGGCTCGACGAATCAACGCTGAAAGCATGCGACAGTGAAGACGGCAATAGAAGCCATGTAGCTGACAACAACAGTGACTCCTCCGGTGAGATGGCGTCAACCAGGAGCGATTTCTCCTCCAAGTGGAACTACGGCGGAAGGACCATGGCCAACTCCAGAGCCAACTCGGTGAGGAGCGTTCCGTCGCGATTGAGCGTCAGCACGGTCGGTCCGTCACGAGTGAACTCGGTCAGAAGCATTGCCTCGAGGATGGCCACCGCCAAAGTTTCGGACTCCAGCTCCGAGTCGGGGCATGTCAACTCTTCTCGCACCAGCACTTCTAGCAACTAGTTATTCTTTATCTGTAAGGTTCACCACTTAGTCTTCGACGAAAGAAAAAACATGCAAATACCATTAACCAGTCCAGATCTGGCTATCAACTTTTCTACCACCATCATATTACGCAGGCTTTGGCGGAGGAGCATTCTGCGACAAAGTGACCGATCGGAGAAGCTCTAGAGAGAAAAGCAAACCCAAGAAGTGCGACAGTAACGCATTTGCTGAAGCCTGCGACCGAAAGCCAGTTAGTGATTACCAAATACTTCTAGCTTACCTGCACGAGAAAGACATCGAGCGCTAGCACTGGACTGTAGCTCGGAGATGGTCTTTGAAGCACCGGTGCTGCCGAGCTCGTTAGAGCTTTTGCGACAAGAACACCGACGGTGGCCTGCATTCCCAGAATTGTCGCTCCCATTCCAAGCAGGTTGATGCCAACACCGTTCTTGATGTTCTCGACTACTTCGATGCGAGGAGGTGCCTGAAACAATGACAGAGCTGTAGCTTGTAAGTTCACAATGAAGGAAAAAGCTGCTAACCTGCTCGGGATCCACACTTTGCAGCTTGGTGCCAAGCCGGATGAATCCAAAGGACCAAAACACGGAGACAAATCCAGCAGCAATCCCAGCAACAGTCAAGTAGAACGTCGTGGGAGAGGTGGCGTTGCCAGTGATCAAAACCGAGAAGGCAGTAATCCCGGCCGAGACTACAATGCAGGCAAGCTGAGACCAAAATCCCAGGTTACCCAGCCTCTTAAAGTATCTTCCAGTCACTTCCAAGCGTTTAGAGACCTATGCTCCAAAGCGAAGAAAGAGTGAGAAAGAGTGAGGCGCGATGAGAGATTGTGATACCTGAGCAAGCTTTTCAGCTTTGGAGGGATCCTCCGCAGCTGGAGGGGGAGAATTTGCAGCATACGATGCCCGGGCAGTGGCAAACACCACGCGCGGATGCGAGCCTAGGAATCGATGCTGCCGCAAGGATTTGAGAGAAGAATTGCTTACCAGTAGCAGGGATCCGCAATGCGAAGGATGGAGGAGCAGCATTTCGTGATCGTGATCCCAAGAGCCCTAAAATGGGTTTTTTGATAACCTTGGTTTAGACCGTGGTTTAGGGTTTAGGGTTTAAGCCGCCATGGACGGAATATCCCTGCCGGGAGGAACCTTATCCGGGGTAAAGGCCGGGCATTTACCGGCATTCTAGGGTTTTAGCAGATATTGTGCTCGCTGCTACGAGCCGAGAGCTTCCAGGGGGAAATTTTCTCGGCCAGCGCCTTCTGTGACGTCGATTTCTTTCTGGGAGCGCTTTTCCGAAGCTGTAATCGAAGGAGCGGCGGCGAGCCAGGCCGAAGGCGCTGCTCCAGCGCCTTCCGGGGGTAAGCATTTGTTTTCTTCTTCGCGATTAGGGCTCTCTTCACTGCTCCTCCTCCTTTTGCCTTTTCGTTTCTCATTGTTTCTTTCGTTTGCTCTTCCGGCGCAGATTTTTTTTTTATGGCTGGGAAGTTAAATTCGAATAAGAACAAAGGAAAGAAAGGAGCGTCCCGGGAGAATGAGACACATTCTCCGAGAGCTAGTGAGGCGCAAACTGTTGCTGTGGAGGGCGAGGGCGGTGTGAAGAACAGCGATGAATCGGCTGAGGTGTTTTCAGCTGACAAGCAACTGGGTGAAAAGGCCGCACGCGAAGGTGAGAGAGAGAGAAAAACATGTGCTTGCGATATCTTGGTAGCTGATTATTTTGTTTTGCGATGGATACAGATGAGCAGAAGCTCTACCCGGTGAAAGTCAAAGGCCCGGCCGGGGAACAGATTGAACTCCAGGTATTCGTTTGATTAAACATTCTGTGGAACTGGAAACGAAACTCTTTCCATTTTCTTTCTTCTAGATAAGTCCCAATGATTCGGTAATGGACTTGAGGCAGTTTTTGTTGGATTCGATTGAAAGCTGCTTCTACACCTGCTACGATCTTATACTACATGGCCCCAACGGGGCAAAGTATCAGCTAGCCGAGTTTCTAGAGATAGGTGAAGTAGCGGATATCACCGTTGGAGGTTTCTCGCTGGAGATGGTCAATGGTACGTGCGTTTTCTTTTTGTTATTCAGCCAAGACTAAGACGACCTTTCCTTTGTCTAGCTGCGTACGATGATAGGTCTGTGAGAGTCCATGTACGTCGTACACGCGATCTGATTTCGACATCAAACATCTACTTTTCTGTGTCAACTGCATTGGCCATGGAGTTCGAAAGGAAACAGGAAGCTTCTGGTTCGTGAAGTGTCAAACCTTTAAGTACTCTTACTAATCGTTCTTAGCTTGCGCAGAGAAGACGAAAAACGAGAAAGAAAAAGAAGGTATTTTATTTCTCCATAAGTACCATTTTATCTCATAGTTTCTTACCACAGTCAGACAAGAGATTACCGAGCTGGAAGCGCTGGGACTCATGGACGAGCCTAGCAAGATGCTGAAAGATTTGGTTTCTAGTCCCGACGTACCCGATGTCAAATGCATCCAAAGTATTTCTTTTTCCTCGTTTAACCCGGTTCCTGGTTACCGGAGGTAAGCCTGGTTATAATGTTGTCTTAGTGATGGACATTTGCTTAAAGGCTTGTTGGAGATCTACTATATCTGGATATCTCGACATTGGAAGGAAAGAATTACTGCGTGACGGCTCACTGCCAGGGGTTTTTTGTGAACTCTAGTAAGAGCGATGTTCTGAACCCACACCCCTTGAAAGCTGGGCACGACGGGACCACGCTTGTGGGACTTCTTCACCAGCTGAGTCCTGCTTTTACAAAAGGTTGAGTTTTTTAATTTTATTCCTTCAATTTTTCTTATCTAAATGAAATGGTTTTACAGGTTTTTCAGAGGTTTTGAAGCGGAAGGGAGCAGGCCACCCTTTTGAAAACGTTCCGGTGTTACACCCGCCGAATCATTGGCTAGGGAGTTACCCCCCTTCGCGTAAGTCTGAACTTTACTCCTGCTAATTGAGCCTTATTTTTTAATTCGTGTTCTTAGCACACAAAAGAGACATTTCACGGGCTGAGGACGCTCTAATGTCGTCCTATGGATCCGAGGTATTTGGCTTACAAAGGGACTGGAACGAAGAGCTTCAGTCATGCAGGGACTTCCCTCGAGAAACTCCTCAGGACAGGTATAGATGTTTTTATTTCTCTTCTTTCTACTTAACTGGTTAAAAGCTTTTTTATACAGGCTGATGCGAGATAGAGCACTATACAAAGTCAATTGTGATTTTGTAGATGCTGCGATCAAGGGCGCGAAGGCGGTCATAGGTCGATGCATTCCTCCTATTAACCCCACGGATCCAGATCGCTTTCAAATGTAAGATAAGTTTTGTGTCTTATTTGCTAATTGTTCTTGTTACCATAGGTACGTGCACAACAATATTTTTTTTAGTTTTGCTCTTGATGGAGATTTTCTCCTCATGCAGCAAAATAGAGAGCAAGAAGCTCAAAACACGACGGACTGTGAGAAACAGCCAGATGACAAACAACCAGAAGAGAAACAACCAGAAAAGGAGCCGAAACTTGCAGAGTCAATAGAACCGTCTTTGAACGCCGAACGTGATCAATCTATAGGCCAGAAGAAAAACTCTACAGAAGTGAAGGATGACCCAACTAATGCTATGGAGGGAGAGCAGGCTACATATTCGTCTGCCAACAATGACTTGAAAGGCACAAAAGCGTATAACAATGCTGATGTCGCGGGGTTGTATACGCTTGCAATGGCTATAGTCGATTACAGAGGGCATCGGGTAGTTGCTCAGGTACGTTCCAGTTATGTAGAATTTATGATCGCTTCACGTTTCCCTCCCTTTCAGAGTATAATTCCTGGTATTCTTCAAGGGGATAAATCCGAATCGTTGTTGTATGGCTCCCTGGATAACGGCAAAAAGATTTCGTGGAACGAGAAGTTTCATACGAAGGTTCTTTTCTCTTTTGCTTTCCTATCACCCTCTAAACTAAGTTGTCAGGTTGTTGAAGCTGGAAAGCTACTGCACATCAAAGAGCACGAAGTGCTGGATGGATCTGGTGGAAAAGTGAAGTTGTGTGCACCCGTTGAGTGCAAGGGAATCGTCGGAAGTGATAATAGGTGCTGGTTAGTCTGAGTTAAAACCCCGTAGTAACGAACGTTCCTTTACGTTGGGCAGATACTACATACTTGATTTGATGAGGACGTTTCCAAGGGATGTAAACTACACTGGACCAGGATCTCGTCTATCCGTTTTGAGACCTGAGCTAATCGCTGCATTTTGTCAGGTATACGATCTCGTAATATATTTCAACACTGACGTGAAATGCTTTGTAGGCCGAGTCACAAACGGAGAGGGATGATAAAAGCATCCCAACGATTTTGTTTAATCCTAACGTCTTTACGGATTTCACTGTTGCCGGAGAGCCCGAGGTAGATACTGTCGTCTCAGTTCTCCTAGATTGTCATAATGGTTCTCCGTGTTCCAGGAAAAAGCTGCGGATGAAGAGTTAGTTAGAAAAGCTGGGGATTACTTAACGAACGTCGTACTCAAGAAATTTATTCAGGACCTTAGTAGCCTGGAAGTTTCACCTATGGATGGGCAAACTTTAACAGAAGCATTACACGCCCATGGCATCAATATTAGATACCTTGGCAAGGTACTCGGGATTTATTATTTGAAAGTTCTGTTTTGACCTCTGTTTTGCTGCATTCTTCTAGGTGGCTCAGCTAGCGAAGCATATGCCACATATCTACGAGCTTTGCGTTGTTGAAATGGTTGTTCGGTCAGCAAAACACGTTTTAAAGGTTCTGTTCAAGCAGTTTTTATGCGAAGCTGGTTCATAATGCGCTTATCTTTGCTATGTGCAGGGTATTCTAAGAGAAACACTTGACCAGGATGTTGGAGGATGCGTTGCTCATTTTCTGAACTGTCTCTTCGGTACTGTGCAATCTGCCAGTCCGAAGGTAACTCCAACAAAGACGTCCCCGGGAAAGAAGAAGAAAGGTGGTCATTCATCACCCAATGCTGTTGTCTCTGACGAGGTAAATGTATGGAATGGATGTGTTAGTTGCTTACAGTAACCTGCAGGCCAACAAGCAGCCATTTTATGCGTGTATCACTTCGGAGCTTGTATGGATCGATATCAAGGAGAGCGTTCACTTTAAATACCAGGTGAAGCTTTCTATTTGTGTTAGTTTTTTCATGTATTTATTTCTACCGCCCTGCAGTTTGATTTTGCAGATGACTTCAGAGCCATCATTCGCAAGATTTCAGCTGTTAGGAATATCTGCCTAAAGGTAACACCTTCTAATTTTTGCACAATTGTCTTAATGGCGACTTCAGGTTGGAATAACTTTGGCTGCAAGGGCGTATAATCTTGAGTCAGCCACCCCATTTGAACAAATGGACATACTCGACCTCCAGGCGGTTGTGAAACACGCTGCTCCAGTTTGCGCAGATGCTCAAGAGCTTATGGAGAATGGCAAGCTTCTATTTGCCCAAGTAAGCTAAGTTGCGCATCTAGAGGATTGACTTACTGCGTGCGTATCAGGGCAAAGTTCCCGAGGCATACGAGCATTTCTCCGAGGCTTTCTTCATCTTGCAACAGGTGTTCTTTCTTCTTTCTCTTTAACGAGATCTCATTCTCTTAATCGTTGCAGGTTTCTGGCCCAATGCATAGGGAGGTGGCAAATTGTTGCAGGTATTGATGCAATGTTTTTTTTCTGTATTTTTTTTCATTCTGAGGCACACTCAGGTATTTGGCGATGGTTCTATATCATACCGGTGACATGGGAGGAGCGATTATGCAACAACATAAAGAGCTCATAATTAATGAGCGTTGCCTTGGCTGTGATCATCCAGATACTGCACACAGGTATGACTTTTTTCTCTGAAAAACCTTTCTTTTGATTGTGGCTTGTTGTTGTCTATCTTTTTACAGCTATGGCAACATGGCGTTGTTTTATCATGGACTGAACCAGACCGATTCGGCTTTAAGACACATGGCCCGGACGCTTCTGCTTCTTAATATTTCGTGTGGATGTGATCATCCGGACGTTGCAGCAACCTTTATCAATATTGCTGTTATGTACCAAGAGCTAAGCAACATGCACGTTGCGTTGAGGTACCTCCAAGAGGCGCTCAAGAAAAATGAGCGCCTTTTGGGAAGTAATCACATCCAGACTGCGGTTTGCTATCATGCTTTGGCCGTGGCCTTTAATTTCATGGGTGCCTACAAGCTATCACTACAGGTATTGTTTTCATCGACTTTCGTGAAGTTGGAATGCCTGACTTCAAATCGTGAAATCTTGCAGCATGAAAAGAGTACACACGACATACTGTCTAAACAGCTGGGTGAAGATGATCCCCGAACCAAGGAGTCGGCAAACTGGATGAGAACGTTTCAAGTCCGCGAATTGCAGGTTGGTTTTCTGCCTAAGTTATACGAGTATACCAACCGTTTTCTTCAGGCTCATGCTCAAAAGCAAAGAGGTCAGGCTGCGACCATGGTAGCGTCGCAAAAGTCAGAAGCTTTGAAGGTAGACTGCATTGTTATCATTGACTTTCCTCCTAACAGATTGTTTGAAAACCAGGCGAGGGCCGACTTGGTCCAAGTTTTCCAAGCAGCCGGCGGTGGCGCGGGGCGTGGGATAAACAAAGCCGTGGCGGCTGCGGCGCTCCTGGGAGAAACGCTCCCGAGAACAAGAGGAATGGACGAGCGTGGCGCTCGGGCAGCGGCGGAAGTTCGCAAGAAGGCAGTCGCGAAAGGCCTCAATGTACGCTCCTCGTCCTCGTCGTCCAGCGTCAATCCAGGTGATCCCACTCTCAGCGACCTTATCAGCCTCTTTAACAACGGCAAGGGCTCTTCAAACTCGAAGAACTCAACACCATCATTAGCAGCAGCACCAGCAGCACCAGCAGCATCGGTACCAGCAGCAACTTCTACTAGCGATCAAGCGAGCTCAAATTTTGATAATCGGAAGAGCACTCCAGTGGGACTGGGCGAAGGATTGAGTCTAGAGACGAGCAAGAAGAAGAAGAATAAATTAAAGCAGCAGCAGCAGCAGCAACAGCAGCAACAGCAGTGAGATCTCCAATTTTCATCGTTAAAGAGGCAGCGAGGAATAACTTGGCAATCCAGCCATCAAACAAACTCTGGTATAATTTTGCTGTTCTTCCCATTTTGTGGGAGGGGAAGATCTGGGAAGAAGATAAAAGCTGAGGTTTAAAACTTGGTTTATTTACGTCGCTTTAGGTCCGTCCAGATTTGGACGGTCCAGATTCATTTGACCGTTGTATAGAATATTCTTAATTCGAGGGCTATTGCTCTTTCTTGCTACCCCAGCATTTGGGACAGGGAAGGCGACAAAGGCGCTCCTTCAAGGCAGCGAGATTCTTGCGACCGATTCGATCGATTCCCAGGTTTTCCTTCTTGCGATTTTGTTCTTGTCTCGGCTGCGGTGAGAATCTTCTTCCTCCATTCCTCCGAGCAGCAGAGATGTCTGCTACAATCGACAAGGAGTCTCCATTCGGCGCCAGGCTGAGGCGCTACCATGAAAATCCGCTCTTTAAGAGCTCCCCCGCCGATAATCCGCCCGGTGAGTCCATTCTTTCTAGCTCGGGAAATTCTTGGCTCTAGCCCTGACTTTGCCTTCACAGCTATCATCGGCGACCTTGACTTATCGTTCAAAGAGAATGCGACTGTGGATAGTGGAGGAAAATTCAAGGTCTGGAATTCTTCCATGACTAAGACCAGCTCCAAGAGGATCCTTGGGGAAAGTAATTGCTACCAGGAACAGGACTGGTGTGCTGTGGAGGAGGAGCCACCAAAGTCTATCAGAGCATTATCGTTCTCCTCCGAGAGAAACAGTGCTGATAGCAGCGACGAGAGCTTGTCGTCGCTGTCGACGTCTCCTCCAAGCCCAACTTCGCGGTTTACTCTCTCTCCACCCATGTCGCCGAATGGATCGGAGAGCTCGAGTGGTTCTGTGGAAGGTGGCCATAGGTATGATCCGAAGGTGAACTTGCGGACTCCCCGGCCGAAGTTTTTGAGGTACCGCCCGGACTGGCGTCTCGAGTTTCTCAGCAGTCTCGAGCTTAAAGAAGGTGAGACTCTGGAAAGTGCCATCGAGTCTCTCAAGTCTCGAGAAGAAAACGCAGCGGGTGATGCAAGTGTTTTGTCCGCGGACAACGAAGAAGAGGATTGTCTCAGCAACGAAAAGCGTTCGTTTCACGTCGAAGATGTTGCTACCGAGGTTCTTACCGAAGGATGTAAGAGCTCTACAACCACTGAAGAACAGCAGCAAAGTTTGACCGACCATTTCCAGGATGGAAAGCTAGGCGATGATCAGTCACCGAGGGCGATAGAAGGGAAGGAAGATGGTGAAGTGGGAGCGACTAAACAGGAGGAAGCGCCACTATTCGGCACGACTTTGAGAGCAGCATCATTCATGCTGCTGCTGGGAAGTTTTGTAGCAATCGCTACAACGCTGATCATAGCGGATACAGACATTGCGAGCGACAGCAGTGTCTCCACCTTGAGGCAGAAGTTCACTCGAACTAAGCGTCTTGAAGACACGGTGACAAGAGACTTCGCTGACTTCGACGACTGGGAATGGTCTCCTGACTACGATGTAAGCGAGAGCTTTCGCAATCAGAGCACAGGTCTGAGCCTATTCTCGACGGATTCCTTGGAGCTGGATGCGCTGCTCATGGCGATCATGTACGGGTCCGAGCGAGACGTCCAGCAGAGATACTTGGAGCTGATGGAACACGAAGACGTCGAGTTTTATCATGATGTGGGAAGCATCTTTGCCGGCGGGTCTTTGGAGTTCACAAAGGCCGAAGAAGAAGCAGAAAAAGAACCGTCAGGAGTCCAAGGAGAGCAATCAAGTGACGACGACGTTGATGTACGTGATCATACAGAAGTTCACAGCGGCGAGAGCTTGTCCAGTGTTGGTGACGAGCTTCCGGAGCTCGAGAACGTCGACGACTTACAGATGTATTTTCCTCGCTTGCTGGCCAAAGGCGAGCTCCTACCGCGGTCGACGACGCCAGCTTCCCAGCTCTCCTTGGTAGTGGCGATCGTCCTCGTGGTTGCTCACGTCTTCTTCCGTGTATATTGTCATCGATCGCGCACCGGCAGCATTTCTAGAACACAGCCACTGCTGGCGCGAAGTCCGCGTCCAACAGCAGCGAGTCCTCCCACGAAGACGTTGATCGATGATATCCTCCCCTCGGAGAAAGGCTCCTCCGCGTACGGTAGCTTCACGGCTTACAAGCGCATCGTCGTCAACGAGGTATGCTCCCCTTTCTTTTCGAGCTCCTGATGGACTTTTCTTTATCCAGGGATCAAACAAGGAGCTCGTTACGCTCACTCCAGTTCGACGCTCCAGCCGCATTCGAGACCAGCGGAGCTTAAAGTCGAGGTCTCCTTGTCTTGTGAGGCGAATCCTCTTGTCACCGGCTTAGCTCAAACAAGAAATCAAAGGTATGTATCAGTTTACTTCTCTTCTCTTGTGTATAAATACCGTTTCCATCCAGTTTTAAGAATCTCTCGCGCACCTGTTGACAAAAAAAACGAAGCGTGGGATTTGTTTGGTGAGAAAGTCCAAATCCAACAACTTGCAAAGGCATTTGACAACGTGTGTGAGGCTTTTGACCCAAAGATATTGATGTTGCATATTCGATCCCCATATTCTCGGGGGACGATGATACGATCCCTTGCATTGTATGGTATCTTTAGAGTCATTGATCGTCAACTCGATTAGAAAACCATGGTCGCCCGAAACCCAATCAGTGTAAGAAATTCGAGTTTCTTGTGCTGCTGCGCCACGTGGATTAAAACTGAGTTCCGCAAACTTGCTTTCCTTTAGGCGATCATGGTATACGGTTTCGGCGACTTCTTTTTCTCGATCCCCATCGCATTTCCGGAAGAGGCCCATTTGACGCTCTTGGATGAACTGGTTTGCGATGTTTGACACGGTTTGCTCCTTGTCTTCCTCGGACATGCGTCCAGGGCTGCTTGTAATCGTCCTGTTTTTCCTTTCTCGGAGAACCACTTCATTAATGAAAAGGAATGTTTCTGGGAGCTGGTTTAGGGTTTAGGGTTTAGAGGCAAAGGCTCCACCATTAAGCACAAGAAGAGAGAGGCAAAGAAGAAGGCACAAGAAGAGAGGCAAAAGCAATCCATTCTTTCTACTCTAGCCCTGACTTTGCCTTCACAGCTATCATCGGCGGGCTTGACTTATCGTTCAAAGAGAATGCGGCTGTGGATAGTGGAGGAAAATTCAAGGTCTGGAATTCCATGACTAAGACCAGCAGCTCCAAGAGGATCCTTCGGGAAAACCAGGAACAGGACTGGTGTGCTGTGGACGAGGAACCACCAAGAGCATTATCGCTCTCTACAGTGCTGATAGCAGCAGCGACGAGAGCTTGTCGTCGCTGTCGATGTCTCCGCCAAGCCCAACTTTGTGGTTTACACTTTCTCCGCCGAGAGCCATGCATCGGAGAGCTCGAGTGAACAGGTATGATCCGAAGGTGAACTGGCGGACTCCCAGGCCGAAGTTTTGACTGGCGTCTGGAGTTTCTCAGCAGTCTCGAGCTTAAAGAAGGTGAGACTCTGGAATGTCCCATCTAGTCTCTCAAGTCTCGAGGAGAAAACGCAACGGGTGATGGAAGTGTTTTGCCGAAGAAGAGTGTCTCAGCAACGAAGAGCGTTCGTTTCACGTCGAAGATGTTGCTACCGAGGTTCTTACCGAAGGATGTACGAGCCACTGAAGAACCACAGGAAAGTTTGAACGACCATTTCCAGGAAAAGCTAGGTGATGATCGATCACCCAGACGATAGAAGGGAAGGAAAATGGTGAAGTGGTAGCGACTGAACAGGAGGAAGCGCCATTCGGCACGACTTTGAGAGCAGCATCATTCATTCTGCTGCTGGGAAGTTTATGTAGCAATCGATGTAACGGATACAGACATCGCGAGCGAAAGCAGTGTCCCCACCTTAAGGCAGAAGTTCACTCGGACTAAGCATCTTGGTGACAAGAGACTTTGCTGACTTCGACGACTGGGAAGGGTCTCCTGACTACGATGTAAGCGAGAGCTTTCGCAATCAGAGCACAGGTCTCAGTTTGTTTTCGGTGGATTCCTTGGAGCTGGATGCGCTGCTCATGACGGTCCGAGCGAGACGTCCAGCAGAGATACTTGGAGCTGATGGAACACGAAGACGTCGAGTTTTATCATGATGTGGGAAGCATCTTGGCTGGCGAGTCTTTGGAGTTCACAAAGGCCGCAGAAGGAGAGTCAGGAATCCTCAAGTGACGACGACGCTGCTACTGTACGTGAAGTTCACAGCGGCGAGGCCCTGTCCAGTGTTGGTGACGAGCTTCCGGAGATTGAGAACGTCGACGACTTACAGACGTATTCTCCTCGCTTGCTGGTCAGTGGCGACCTTCTACCGCGGTCGACGACGCCAGCCTCCCAGCTCTCCTTGGCAGTGGCCATCGTCCTCGTGGCTGCTCACGGCTTCTTCCGTGTCACTCGCCATCGCCAGCGATCGCGCATCGGCAGCCTGAGGATTTCTAGAACACAGCCACTGCCGGTGCGAAGTCCGCGTCCAACAGCAGCGAGTTCTCCCACGACTAGAGCAGCAAAAGCATCCATCCTCAGGGACGGTGACGCTGATCGATGGCGAGCAGCATGGAGCCCGCGGAGAAAAGCTCCTCCGCGTACGGTAGCTTCACGGCTTACAAGCGCATGGTCGTCAAAGAGGTATGCTCCTCATCTCTTACGAGCCTTTAGAGGTTCCTCTTGTTAGATGGAACTGCTGATGGTGGTTTCTTTGCCAGGGATCAAACAAAGAGCTCGCCACGCTCACTCCAGTTTGACGCTCCAGCCGCATTCCAGACCAGCTGAGCTTAAAGTCGAGCTTAAAGGCGAATCCTCTTATCACCGCCTTAAGAATCAAAGGTATATATTTGTTTTTTCTTCTCTTCTCTTGGCGTATTAAATACGGTAACAACCATTCTTCCAAGAGATTCTTTCTCACGAAAGACGCACCTGTTGACAAAAAAAATTAAACGTGGGATGGGATTTGTTTGGTGAGGAGGTCCAAATCTGGCAACTGGCATGGGCATTTGACAACGTGTGGGAAGCTTTTGACCCAAAGATAGCGATGATACGCGCGCGCACGATCTGTTCGTTCCCTCGCATTATATGATATCTTTCGATTGATCGATCGTCAACTCGATTTGGAAAGATTAGAAAACATTGGTCGCCAGATACCCAATCTCAACTTTGGAGTGTAAGAGATTCGAGTTGGAATGATCTAGTTGGGCGCATTAGTGTATTGTATCGCAAATAATCTCCAAAGTTGATAAGCAACAGTGAGTGATCTATTGCATTCAAAGTTTATAAGCCCTAAATCTCCAAAGGCAAAAAACTAGTGATCAGATCCCACAAACAATATCTGCAAATCCCGGATCCAACGGCGCGCCTGCGTCACATCCAACGGTTTCGGTGGAGGCCGCACGAATTTACGGGGTTTTCCCGCCAGCGGACACGTGGCGCACTTTTCGCCTATATTTATAAGGCGGTCTTTCTTTCGAAAGGAAGAAGAAGGAGAAGACGAAGGCGCTAGGTTTTTGCGCGATCTCTAGTTCTTCCCCGGCTGTGACTTTGATGATCGGTCACAATGCCAAGGTATTGTAGCTGCGGGTTTCTGCGATTCTTCTTCGTCCAGCGATCTAGTAGATTTCTTTCCCTTCACGGCGCGATTCGGTCACAGGGCTTAGGCGGCGAGCTGAGAGGGGGTCTGTGAAGGAAATATCGCCGATCCAGGGATATCCTGCGGGGAATTCACGGAATTTGGCAAGATTTCGATCGAAATGCTGTCGAGGAGCGATAGCCATGGCTCCGATCTCGTGCCGGGCTACGAATCCGACGATTTCAACGCGCTCAAGAGGCTTGGGTATGGCGACATGGGGACGGTGTTTCTGGCGACGCTGAGAAACACGGGACAGCCCCTGGCGATGAAAGTGATGAACAAGGAGGTGGTGAAGGCCCGGCACAACCAGTACCGAGTGGAGAGGGAGCTGGAGATACTCTCGATGCTCTCTCATCCTTTCACGCCCAAGCTTTTCAGCCATTTCGAGTCCAAGAAGAACATCTACTTCGTCATGGATTACTGCCCCGGGGGTGACATGAACAGGCTCCGGCAGCGCCAGCCCGAGAAACGATTCTCGGAGAATGCCGCTCGGTAAGCGAAAGCTCTCATCCGAGAAGTTCTGGTTTTCTTACTTTGCCTTTCCTTTTCCCTTCCAGATTCTATGCCGCGGAGGTTTGCCTAGCGATCGAGTATCTCCACAAGGCCGGGATCATATACAGGGATCTCAAGCCCGAGAACGTTCTCATCCAGGAAGATGGTCACATAATGCTTACGGATTTCGATCTGTCCGTGAGGATCGAGCAGGACCGTGACCACCACCATCATCCTGGAGCTCCAGCTCCAGCTCCAGCTCCGCAGCCCAAGCAAAAAAAGATGAAGAACCTTCCATTCATGTGCTCAACGCCCCTGTCAGTGGATGTCGGATGCGCTGCTCGCAAGGCGGTGGACGTTAAGCCGTCTCATCGCCCAACAAAGAAAATCTTTCCCTCGGAGATGAGAGGAAGGAAAGGAGCTGCCGCAGCGGCGGCAGCCGCCAAGGAAATCAAGTCGCAGTCCTTTGTGGGAACCGAGGAGTACGTCGCCCCGGAGATGATCCTGGGATCCGGGCACGGCAAGCCGCTCGACTGGTGGACACTTGGGATCTTCCTCTACGAGATGATCTACGGGGTGACGCCGTTCAAGGGGAGGAACCGGAGGGAGACGTTTCTAAACATCCTGAGCTCGCAGCCGGCATTTCCTGGGGACTGGACAGAGGCGAGCGACTTGATCTCCAAGCTCCTGGCGAAAGACCCGACCAAGAGGCTGGGGTGCCAAGGTGGCGCCGAGGAGATCAAGTCACACGCTTTCTTCCGGGGCGTGGACTGGGAGGCAATCCAACACGTCGCCCGTCCACCGTGGGTTCCGGAGCCTCTGGCGATTGATGAGGAGAGGATGGAGGTGGTGACAGTGGACGAGCTGCTCAAGCAAACGATGCCGGCAACCACGATCCAGTCCACCCCGGCCACCACCATGAGTTGGAGCTCCTCCAAGGTGAGCTCGTCCTCGATGAGGAAAGAGGAGGAGGAGATTGACAGCCGGCGTAGCTCCTCGTCGACGATCTCGTACGAGTTCTCGGATAATCGCGAGCGGGATTGTTTTGGCGAGTTTTGATGGAGGATCTGGCAAGGTGGGGATCTTGGGAGTGACAAGGTGGGGTCGCTCGCTCGCTGATCGACTTCTCCCAAGTTTCTCTCTCGTGTACAGCAGCTTATAGCTGGAGGTAATCAACACAGGAACAACGACAAGGCAACGGCAAGGCAGCGAAGAAAGAAGATTAAAACGCGAGGGGAAAAAAGTAATTATCGATCGATCGATTCTTAGTTTTGTTCTTTTTTTTCCTTTCGATCCTCTCGATTAGGTGGGAGATTATAACGTTGTACATGATACATCTCTTCTTTTTCGGTATCTTTATCTCCTTGATTCTCCAGGAGAAAATTTTCCCTTTTTACATGTTTAGAAAAAATGGCACAAAAAAGTGGTCCTATATTTGTTAACCTTTCATACTCTCCCATTTTGTTGGCCCTTTCCATTAGTTTGGATCGCTCAAGTTGATGTAAGCGCCACTAGATCACGCAAAAACTTTCGACTGGAGCTCCTTCACATATAGGGTAGAGTGGTCCTCTCCTGCCATTGTAGAAGACACACACTCACAAACAAAAAGAAGGGCTTTCTTCCCGTGTTGAAAGCCCCACAGCTTTACCTGCCAAGACTTTGCTCGCTTCCGCATCGTTTGGTGGCAGGGATAGCTCCAAGTTCGGTGCTAAGTTCTTCGCGCTAGGTGCTAAAGCGAGCAAAAACTTCCACTAAAGCTATAGACCTTTCTTTGGCGGTGGAGCCTTCGCTCATCTTGGTTGTTTTTGCTTACGAAGGGGAGAAGTTTCACCTTCTGGAAGTTTAGATTCACGATAGAGGGATCTTCGACAGACTAGCACCAGCAACGCATACTTGTGTTTCTATTCACCTCGACCGCTCACTCCGGTACGATCGATGTGATTATCTGGACCACCTCTCGTGCGAGAGATTTTTCTTTTCTTTTTTTGATCGCGAGGGCCAATCGTGCCAGCAGCCGATCTGGGAGCAGCGATAAAACTCAACAGTGTGGTGTTCGTCGACAAAGACAGCCGCGCTTTTCTCAGCGCTCATTAGCAACTTTCGCTTCTCTTTCCCAGCTACAAAATAAAGTTTGATCTCGCCGTGTCAACGTCCGGATTATGTTTGAGGATTGTCACGCGAGAGGCTTTTTATGGCTCTGATCCGATTGTGTTTTGTCGAGCTCGCGAGCACGGTTCAAGGAACACAACCATTTTGTGTCTCTGAGACGAGGCGAAGAAGCGTCGAATCCTGGGGGCGTTGAGTCAATCCTACCAACAACGAGAAAACAATCTGTCAAGTCACAATGGATGAGAGGTAGACTTACCTTATGCACAGTCGAACAGTCAAGTTGTAGAGCTTTGGTAGCTTTGAAGCTGTAGCGTGATAATCGTATATGATCGATGATCACTTAGCCATTGCTCCACCAATCGATCGATCGATCTGATTATATTATAAGATAGGTGAGGCAAAGACAAAACGAGAACTAGAAAAAGCAACACGTTACCTCTTTTGACTCCCCGGTGTGCAAAGATTCTATCAACGCGCTCGTTCCGCGAAGTTGAGGAGTCGAAGAACAAGGAAGAAACCGATTTCTCCTCTGAGCTGGACACGAGAGCGATGAAAAGTTTACGCCTTTATTTCTCCCCTGTTGACTCGGCTGCTTTTGAAGTACCTTTACTTTCACATATACGATCCATCGCTTCTCAACTTTCCTGTTCCACTCTACCTGTGACAACCTTGCTTTGTGATCGATGCCTTCACAGTAACCACTGCCACTTTCACATACGTGTCGCAAGCTCCCCGAGATGCCTGTGAGTCGCTTTAAGCCCCCCCGCTAAAAGAGATGCTAGCTCGCTTTGCCGGAGTCATGTCAGCCTCTGTGAGGAGTTGACACATTGCTGGATTCCGGCCTCGATGATATGGGAGTGGAGGTTGCGCTCGGTAAGACGAGCTGTCCGCTAGACGAGACCTCGTCGATGATATCTTCTACACAAACAGTTGACATGTATTCTTGGACGTCTTCGTTGCCACTTTGCAGCTCCTCGACGCTCTCCGGATTGCTACAAATCTCTGCCTCGATACCAGCCTTGTCGTACACCCATAAGTCGTCGCTCTTGGTTGTTTTCAGCTTGGGACTGATGGAGCTTAGTGGGCCGAGCTTGCGTTGCAGGAGCAAAACTTTGTACCAGTATTTCGCAGCCGCCTCCAAAAGCAAACCGAACTCTACCTCCAGCAGCGATGGAGAAAAGGTGCTGCTTCTCTCCACCGTCTTCTGATGTTCCTGATTTAATGGATCTACAATCTTGTCCAAGAGCTCTACTTTTCCCTCGCTGGCCAGACTCGACGGTCGAAGTAATAAATGTGCCAAGCCGCTAAACAATCTGCGTCGCATGTCTTTTTCTGCCGGAACAACCTGTCATAGATAGTTGTTGCGCAGTTGCGACGGAGTAAAGGGAAATAGTACCTGAAGCATCCAGCAAGCCAACAGCCTGATTGTGTAAAAGCAACACTTGCCACCTTTCTTTAGCTCGTAATTTGCAGCTCGAATCTCGCCACGACTTAACGCTTTGCTTAAAGCTGCATCGGGGATTATGGGATCCTGCCAGAAACGCTGGTCTGAGCGCTACTAGGAACAAGAAGTTGCTCAGACCTTAAGAAGGTAAAACCAATCTAGAAACAGCTGCACAAGTATTCGAACATCGAGGCTACAAAGTACCTCCCAATTGCCCGTGTTTAGCTTTTTCTGCATGATTATGGACGGCAAATAGTATACATCCACAAAAAGTTATTGATACCTTCGCCGTTTGTACGTCTGAGATGAAGTTTTGATCTTTTTCGGTTGTCATCTCAAGTGCCAATCCTTGCAAAAGAGCAGAAGCGACTGCTTCTTTGTTGATTTTGCTCAAAACAATACGGCTTGAAAGCTCCCGAACCAAACACACCAAAACCTGTACCAAGAAAGTCCTCAACAAAAGCGCTAGACCTCTGTTACCTTTGGAGTATATCGGAGAAGGCGACTTTCTTCCCCATGAAGCATTTGTCTTTGCCTTGCCATCAAAATTTCTAGCGTCGGATGCGTTCCTTTGGTACCGGCATTGTCCAGAGTTTGCCAAGGCTGCACGTACACAATCTTCAATCCTGATAGAAAGTCCTCAAACTCTTTCACGTGCAGCACTTGTTGTTTTGTTTGAAGAGCTCCTGGTCTGTAAAATGCATGTAAGTTCACGCCTCAGTGTGCTAAGACTTTTGATTAAATACGCACAGAAATATGTTGAATCGCTTGGGAAAATGGTGGCAAACCTATGCATGCGGACCAGCTCCACAGCCTGAGCCACAGGAAAAAGCTGCATTTAGCTCGTAAAAAGAAGATCTAACTGCAAGAGAACGTACTCCGACAGCATTCCTTTGCCCCGTGTACACCAAGTAGCAAGCAATCACAAGCCCAGTGCGTCCTGTGGCAAACGAACCGTAAGAAAGCTGCTTACAATGAGATGAAAGTAACTTACCAAGTCCGGAATGACAGTGAACAGCTACCTGCATAGAAAAACTCTTCTGAAGATCGCGAAGGTCGCAAAGATCACAAAACAAACCTTAGCTCCCTTAGAAATGTGGAAATCCATCACTGCCACAATGTTCAGAGTGTACTCGACGCTCGGGCAAGTCATGTCCCTCCATGGAAAGTTATAATAGAAGACTGCCAAATCACCGAAAAAAAGAAGAAAAAAACAATAAACACTGGAGCATAACGGGAGTTACTCTTGTTTCTCATGAGACTTTCTGGTGTGTATGAAAATCCACTCTCGACTTTGATTCCTGGTCCACAATCTCCATGCTCGCCAGGCTCTTGTAGATTGAAAATCGCACCTAAACCGCATTTTGCAAACTGTCCATGCAACAACAGTAGTAGTATTTACTCTGAGATTCACGTTCTTACCTGTTCTAGCACGGAATAATCACCGATGAGAGCATCCGATGGACGAGCTGTAGCTACTATGTTATCAGTCACCCAGTTGGAATGGAGTCCCACAATCGCTGGCTGCCCCTTTTGCTGCTTGAAATCTTCGCATCGGCAGCGTTCCGAGGATCCGAGACCCTCAAACTTGCATTGTATGTGCTCCTTGATGGCAAATTTCTTCGTTCTCACCAGAAATTCCCTGCTATCCTGCAAAACCTAGAATCTGTGAAGCGCGCCTTTGCCGATCCATGCTTGGAATCACCTGGATCGCCCAGGGCGTGAGAGATCGAAGACGCCGGAGTGAGGCGCTCTTGAGTGACATGGCGGGGGCGAGCGTCGGAGCTGACCATTCGAAGCATATCGACAGCACTATCCCCATCTCTCTTCTCGCTCTAAAATCTAGGGTTCGAGGTAAGAATATCCAAAAAGCACAAATTCAAATTTAATCTCATCCAGCCGTTGTAAGTCGGCGGCGTAGATTGATCGGGCTCGAGATAAGAATATCCAAAAAGCATAATTTTAAATTCTCTATAGTGTGTAAAGTTTTAGCCAAACCTCCACATTCTTTTTGCTTCGTCTAGCCACGCTTCATAAGCGTCTGGATTCTTGAGTACAAAGTGGATCTATAAACACCCATCCAAAACCATGAATTCCACAAAGAAATGCGAGAGATTGAATCAAACAAACCTCTTGAAAACCAGCCCAGTTCTTCCTCAAAGCCGTAAGACCAACCTCAGCTCCCTCGTCGTGGGGATACCTGGTGAATGCAAGCTCTTGAGCTTTTCTAGTTTTTCTACGAAACATACCCGTAGAGCTCGCAAGACAAAGCTGGAAATGCGATGTACTTAATGCCATTAGAAGTTGCCAGATTCAAAGCAGCACTGAGAAAAAGAACGAATAAGTTTAGAGAATGCCAAAATCCAGCTCCAGATCATCATAGTAGACACTTACACATAGGCCTTGGTTAGCATTTTCTCGGACTCGTCTCGATTTTTCTCCTCGTAAACAGGACCAACAGCGTGAATCACACGAGACGCCTGGAGATTAAAACCCCTGCAAGAAAGGAAGAATGAAGTGGACAAGACTCTAAGATAAAAAAGAGAGAGCTTTACCTTGTGATCACAGCCTGACCGACCTCGCACTTGATCCCTTGAGGTGCTACGTCGGGTAACTTCTGGCAAGTATCAAGCAACCTCGGACCCGCAAAGCGATGGATAGCTGCCATTTAGAAACTTTTAGCTCGATGTTTTCCTGGCTTTTAAAGCGCATCAAAGCTTACTTCCATCGACACCATATCCAGCATTGCATCTTTTGTTCGCAGGAGCCACCTAGGAAAACGAAGAAGAAAAAAAAACGAACATGAACTTCAGACTTCTTCGAGAGAAAAAAGAGCGAGAAAAGAAAAGCCTAGACGCAAAAGCTTTGCTTACCACAGCATCGTTTTGTCCATCGATATACCACAGTCCCAAGTCGCCCTTCCAAATCACCATGGTGCACGTATCCGAGAGCTTATACTTGACCGCCCCAGTGAGGGGCTCTGGCGGAGGTGGCGGCGGAGGAACGGGCTTCTCTCCACTGGGACGATCGAAGTTTGGTCTCCTGCGAGGCCGATCCATTCCCGCCGAGCGAGGCCCGCCCATGGCGCAATTGATGTGAAGCGATGGCTGCGTGTGGATGCTGTTCTTCCTGCGAATGCTCGACCCAACGAGCTGGGTGTGTTGCGTTAGCGATGATAGACCTGGCGGCGATTTCACCGCGCCCAGGAACTGCGAAGCTTGGACCACTCCCACGGCCCCCATCTTCCCTGCGATTGTTTCACACAAGAATGCGGCCATTGTGAGTGCCGGAAGAAATCCTAGAAAGGAACAGGGCGAGAAGAATGCGAGATTTCCAGCCAAAACCCAAAACCCTGGGAGATTTCTGGCCCGGATGAAAGCGCGCTAACGAATCTACATCCAAGCGCAGAAGAAATGACTGACCTCCAACGCCTCGCGCGCCTGCGCCTTTGCGCTGCCCTAGCGCTTTGCTTCCTCGAGCTCTCTTTCAAATATCCTGCTTCATGTGGATATTCCACCGCATAACAACTGGGCAATGGCATCCGATGGATACAAAGTAGAGAGCGAGCCACAGCCGTTGGATCGGCACACATTTTCCAGATTGAAATTTAACGTAGTTTCTAGCTACAGACTGTGTTAAGAGGAATAGAGCTCTCGCAACTTTGCTGCTACTGCATCAGTGCCTGTGGCTGGTGTCTAAACATCCTCTTGGCCTCGTCGATCCAGGAATCGTATCCATCCTGTGCCTTGATAATGAAATGGACCTGGAGAGAACAAAAAGAAAAGAAAAATGAAAAAAGGTTCTAGCTCCAACTTCATATACCTCAGACAATCCATGGTGGTTTTTTATCACAGCGTTCAATGCGACTTCGGCTCCCTCGTCGTAAGGATATCTGGAAAAAAAGACGATTTTTTGGACTCGAAACTCTTAGAAAGACGAGAATTACCCGTAGAGTTCACAGGAGAGCGCAGGGAACGCCATGAATCTGATGCTTTCCTTGAGAGCTAACGCGATAGCACTCCTATAACCACCGAGGGATTAAAAACATCTTTTTTCTGATCGAAGAAGAGTCTTACTTGTATGCATTGGTGAGGTTTCTCTCCGACTCGTCTCGGTTCTTGTCCTCGTAGACGGGACCAATCGCGTGAATCACACGAGAAGCAGGAAGATTGAATCCCCTGGCAACCACGAAACAAACATAAGACAACGAATCCCGAGAGAAGGCCTTGCTACACCCACCTTGTGATCACAGCATTCCCGACCTCGCATTTGATGCCTTGCGGTGCTACGTCCGGGAGCTTCTGGCAAGCATCCAGAAGACGTGGTCCTCCTCCACGGTGAATAGCTAGAACAACAACAAAAAAAAAAGAGCTTCCTTAGAATGGTGAAAAACCGATCAAAACTCACCTCCATCGACTCCAAATCCGGCATTGCATCGCTTGTTCGCAGGAGCAACCTGGAAAGCAAAAGAAGACATGAGAACCATCACGAAAACGAGACAAGAAAAAAAAAAGCCTTACAATGCAATCGTTTTGTCCATCGACGTGCCACAAGGCAATGTCGCCCTTCCAGATCGCCATGACGCAGTTCTCCGAGATCCTGTACTTGACCTGGCCGCTGAGAGGCTCTGGCGGCGGCGGCGGCGGCGGAGTCGGGGGAGTATCGCCCGGCCTATCGAAATTTGGGCGACGGCGGGGCCTATCCATAGATCGCGGCCCACCCATTGCGCAGCTGATCCTCGTCGGCTGCGCTACCTCCACCGCCGGCGTCGTGTGAATGCCCGACGCTCGCTTGTAGAGCGATGCAAGGCCGGCATTCCTCTCCAACAGCTGCGACGCCTGCGCCAAGCGAGGGAAGACCTTGCATTTCACGACCCCGGCCTGCATCGCCGCTGAAACTCGAGATGGAGCGCCCCCGATAAGAAAGAATCGATCGCCAAAACCCTTCCCCTCAAACACCCTAAACCCCTAGAGATATTTATCTGCACCTTCTGGATCCTGGCCGTCCATCGCTTGGACATTCTCAATTTCAAAAATCTTGGCCGCACGTTAAAACCCTATGTGGGGCATCAAGTAGGAAATTCATCGTAGCCGTCGGATATTTAGCCTACCATCTTAGGGTTTAGGACTTTTCCCTTTTAAATATGTCACCCAAGACCACTTGAATCATAGTCCTCGGGTCTAGATTATGGACAAGAAGCATGCCAACCTGTTACATGGATTTATGTTCTAAACTCGAGCAGTAGCTTGTTATTTGGGATGAAAGAAGATCTTTTAGTCTGGAATCCTCTCACTGCAGCGTCTAAGTTGCGACTGAAGAAGATCACTCTCTGGAGGAAGAGAGTGATCTGGTTCCAGAGCTGTGGAAGGGCTTGCCGGCGCTGCTTCTGCTCAAGATTCTTATCGATCACCTCGCCTTGGATCATCTGTTCCGCCTTGCCGACGGCGACTGGGAGCTCACCGCCGCCATTCTGTTGCAGCCCTTGAAGCAAGACAAGTGTGCGCTGCTGCTCCCGAATCAAAACCTCGTCTTGCACAACTTTGGATTCGAGGTAGATCTCCCGCCCAGGTGGAAGCGGCTCCGACTCCAACTCGATGAGAGGGATGATCACAGCTCGTCGCAGAGGCGCCTCCTGGCCGTGTCTCCTCGCGGGCTGCTGGTTCTC